GGCGGGGGTGCGGGTGGGGGTAGTGGTGGAGGCGGGTCGTCCGGTGCCAATGCGGACGTGGGGACCCTGCCCGGTCCAGCTGCCCCGCTGCCTCCACAGTTGCAGCAGCCGCAGCAGCAGCAGGCGCCGCAGCCGCAGCCTTGCAGCAGCCGCAGCAGCCGCCGCAGACGAGGCCGGCGAGTACTCTCCCACCTGGGTGGCCTGGAGCTGGTGGTGGTCGTGCGCGTGGTGGTGCACCGGGTGGTGGTTCTGGAGGCGGGCCCTGTCAGTACCAGATCCAGACCGGTCCTCGCCGCGGCTTCGCTTGCGGTAAGATCGGTCATTCTACTCCTCGCTGTTTTCGTCGCCTGGACGACCTGTTCCGCCAGCGCTTTGGCCCGGCGCCCGACCTCCCGGACTGGCACAGCTTGCTTAGGCGTAGCGTTAGGATTTTTGACTTGGACATGGATGCCATTGTAGCGGCCTTGCATGTGATGTATGCTGATGACTCTAGTGTGCTTCCCTCTTATTACCCCGTGTTGCCTAGTGTAGCGGTGCCTAGCGTAGACTCCCCTGCTGCGTCAGGCGTAGGATCTCCTGCTTTGCTTAGCCTTGGTGCTTCCACCGCTTCACTGCTGCCTCGCGCGACTGCTGCGCTTTCCTTCACCTTGGACTCTGGCGCCTCCCGGTGTTTCTTCCGCGACTCCACGACGCTGACGCCGCTGCCTGTTCCCGCTGCAGTTACTCTTGCTGACCCCTCCGGTGGTCCCGTCGTTGCCCGCAGTTCCACCTCCCTTCCCTGTCCGGCGGTTCCTTCGGGCACTCTCACAGGTCTGCATATCCCCTCGTTCTCCAGGAACCTAGTTGGTGTCGGCTGCCTCCAGGACCTTGGCGTCACCACTACGTTCCCTGGTCACGAGCGGTATGCTGTCTGTACCGAGGCCGCCACTGGTGCCCCCCTTACCACTTTCCCCCGGGACCCGGTGTCCGGCCTGTTCACACTTGACACCGCGCCGTCCCCGGCTGGGTCTTCCCCCCGGTAGTTGCGTCCACCCAGGTTGCAGCCGCGTGCTCCTGTCGGTCCCTCACTCACCCGACTCTCCTTTGGCACCACCGCCTTGGTCACCCTGCACTCCCACGTCTGCGTCACATGTCCCAGCACGGTCTCGTCCTTGGTCTCCCCGGTTCGTTCCCCGAGTTTCCCTCCTCCCCCGCCCCACCGTGCACGCCTTGTGTCGAGGGCCGGCTCCGCCGTGCCCCTCACTCCTCCTCTTTTCCCCCTACCACCGCACCACTGCAGACTCTGCACATGGACGTCTGGGGCCCAGCCCCGGTCCATGGGCCGCGTCGCGAGCGCTTCTTCCTAGTGCTTGTCGACGACATCACGCGCTACACCACCGTCTTCCCCCTGGAGCGGAAGGCCGACGTGCCTGACGTTCTCATCCCCTGGCTTGTCTCTGCTCGTGTCCACCGCGGTCTCCCTGCCTTGCGCCTTCACTCCGACCGGGGTGGCGAGTTTGCCTCAGGTGTCCTTGGTCGCTTCTGTCGTGCGGAGGGCATCACCCAGACGTTTACCCTGCCGGACTCCCCGCAGCAGAATGGGGTCGCTGAGCGACGCATCGGTTTGGTCATGGAGGTGGCTCGCACCTCCATGATCCACGCCGGTGCACCCCATTTTCTGTGGCCGTTCGCCGTGCGCTACGCCGCTCACCAGCTTAACCTGTGGCCGCACCCCCAGTGGCCGCAGGTTTCGCCGACCCTTCTGTGGACCGGGTCCCCTGGTGACGCGTCTGCGTTCCGCGTCTGGGGCTGCCTTGCTCACGTTCGTGCCTCTGGCACGGACAAGCTCACTGCCCGCACCCTCCCCTGCGTCTTCCTCGGTTTCCCCCTTGACGCGTCCGACTGGCACTTCTACCACCCGCCGTCTCACCGCTTCTTTCACTCTCGCGACGTCACCTTTGACGAGTCCGTCTCCTTCTACCGCCGCTTTCCCCACCGTGGTCCCCCGGTTACTCCCCCCCTTTTCCTGGTTCCTCCCTCCCTGGTGGTCCCTGCCCCTCCCCCCCCCCCGCCCCCCCGTCCGGCCCCCTCTGGTGTGTCTCACGTCACCCCCCTCCCGTCGGTCGTCCCGGTCGACGAGTCTTCTGACTCTGGTAGTCCTCCGGCGCAGTCCTCGCCGTCTCTGTCCCTCCCCACCGCCTCCGCAGCCGCCGTCGCCGCAGCTGCTGCAGCCGTCGTCTCCACCGCCGCCGCCGTTGCAGCCGTCGTCTCCGCCGCCGCCGCCGTCGCAGCCGTCGCTGCAGCCGCCGCCGCCGCCGCCGCTGTCGTCGCTGCCGCCGTTTGTGGACTCTGGGGGTGTCCCTTCTGGGGGTGCAGGTGTGGAGGGTTCGGGAGGTAGCCGTCGCGCAGCTTGTGGCCCTGGAGTTGGTGTTGTGTCGCCGCAGCAGCAGTCCCCGCCTGTGTCCGCCCTCCGTCTGCTCGGCCTTCCGTCTCCTGACCCTGCGCCTGTTCCTCTCCTGCCGTCTCCCCCTCTTCCCGTCTACGGCCCCGTGTTCCCTCTGCCAGACTCGTCCCCGGCTCGTCTTCCCCCTCGTTCCCCTCCTGTGTCCCCTCCTCTGTCTCCTGACCCGACGCCGCCCTCACACGTCTGGTCTCGCCGCCCCTCTCGTGCTCGTCCTGTCTCCCCTGTCCCGCGCTCTCACCCTATGTTGCTCCGTTCCCACGCGTCTCGACCTCCCCTCCTCCCGTCTCCTCCTCCGTCTTCTCTTGTCGTTGCGTCTCCTCCTCTGTCCGACTCCTTTCGTGCCGCTCGTCCTCTTGTTCCTCGGGTCCTTGCCTCTCTCGTTACCGACCCGTCTGTTCCCGTGTCGAGTCTTGACGCCCTCGTCGCTGCGGTCGCTGACTTCGCCTCTACCCGCCGCCTTGACTACGCCACCGCTCTGGTCTCTCACCCTGCCTGTCCTCCGTCTGTCGGGGGTGCTCCTGCCCTCGGCAGTGACGTCCTGGAGGACCGCCAGTTTGAGCTTGCTTTCCTGTCCGAGGCTGCTCCCCATCTCTGTTCCATGCTGCTAGTCCCTGAGGGTGACCCAGACGCTTTCGACATCCCGACCCCTCGTACTTACGCTGAGGCGGTTTCGGGACCCTGGGCCTCTCAGTGGATAGCTGCCATGGAGCAGGAGATGGCATCTTGGAGATCCACCGGCACCTTCGTCGACGCAGTTCCCCCACCTGGGGTGAACGTGGTCGATGGCCGTTGGCTCTTCAAGGTGAAGCGCCCTCCTGGAGAGCCGCCTGTGTTCAAGGCGCGCTACGTGGCTAGAGGCTTCAGTCAGCGCGAGGGGGTGGACTTCTTTCAGACTTTCGCTCCTACCCCGAAGATGACTACTCTTCGGGTGCTGCTACACGTAGCGGCTCAGCGTGACTACGAGCTTCATTCCCTCGACTTCTCCACTGCCTTTCTTCAGGGCAGCCTTCACGAGCAAGTCTACCTGCGTCGCCCTCAGGGCTTTACTGGCACCTTCCCCCCTGGGACCCAGTGGCTTCTGCGGCGGCCAGTCTACGGCCTGCGCCAGGCGCCTCGTGAGTGGCACGACACTTTGCGTGCTACCCTTGCTGACCTGCAGTTCTTTCCGTCCTCTGCAGACCCCTCGCTCTTCGTTCGTGCTGGCTCGACTCCGTTCTACATCCTCGTCTACGTAGACAACCTGGTCTTTGCCACTGCTGACAGGGACGCACTGGCCTCCGTGAAGGCAGAGCTGCTGAAGAGACACACCTGCACTGACCTTGGAGAGCTGCGCCGTTACCTTGGCTTGCAGATCTCCAGGGACAGAGCCGCGCGCACCATCACCCTGACTCAGTCACACTTGGTGCGCCAGGTCCTTCAGAGGTTCGGCCTTCAGTTCTCCTCCGCACAGCCCACCCCTCTTCCTCTGGACCACAGACTCTCCGCTCCAGTTCCTGAGGAGTCGGTAGATCCCAGTGGTCCTTACGCTGAGCTAGTGGGTTGCCTCATGTACCTGATGACTTGCACTCGCCCAGATCTCGCATACCCTCTCAGCATCCTGGCTCGTTTCGTGGCCACAGGCAGGCACCGACCTCAGCACTGGTCTGCCGCTAAGAGGGTTTTGCGTTATCTTGCAAGTACATCGGGCATGGGGTTAGTGCTAGGCGGACGCAGGCCAGTGGTCCTTACTGGACACACAGACGCTTCTTGGGCAGACGACGCCGAGACGCTCAGGTCTTCCCAGGGCTACTGCTTTAGCCTTGGTTCAGGTGCTGTCTCGTGGAGAGCTACCCGTTCTTCGTCTGTTGCCCAGTCCAGCTGTGAGGCCGAGATCTACGCCGGTGCCATGGCGGCACAGGAGCTCCGCTGGCTGACCTTCTTGCTCACTGACTTAGGTGAGCGGCCTAGCTCTGCCCCGGTCCTGTACGCTGACAACAGGGCCATGATCCTCCTGTGTCAGGAGCCTCGACTCGAGGGCAGAGCGAAGCACATCCAGCTGCGGTACTTCCTCCTGCGTGAGCTACAGCAGCGTCGCCAGGCTCGCGTAGTACACTTAGCCTCCGGTGCCAACACAGCTGATATCTTTACGAAGGCGCTTGCGCCTAAAGATCATCAGCGGCACTGTGTGCAGCTTGGTCTGGTTCCTGTAGTCTCTCACTTACTCGGGCCTTGACTCTGTACTGTCCTATATATCTGTGTGTACACTCAGACTGGACTTGTGTCCTCTTACAGTGGTTGGACTAGTAGTGCCGCCCTGTACTAGTTCTTGCCTTGCCTGTACTCCTTCTGACTGGTCTTTTAGACCCTTGTCTCAGAGGCTGGACTAGTAGTGCCACCCTGAGCTGCTTGTCTAGAACATTCCCCTATGCAGTCCAGGGGGTGTGTCAAACATGTTTAGTTATCATGCTTGTATAGACTGTATAGGGTTATCTTCTAGAGAGTACAACATTTAGGTATATGTTTGTGTACTCTCTCTCTCTATTCATTAATTTCACTGTTCGTTAGTTATATCCGGGGGATTACGGTAACAGATTACAATACATAAATTGAAGGTAACCAAAACAGTATACCTACCACTTTCGGAGAAATGAAGGAAACCAATAAAATGCATAAATTGAGAAAAGAAAAAACAGAATGAATTAGCCAGAGAGGATGAACCGCCAGGGCATCCATCCACCTGCACATCTCGATTCTCCACCACCCAGTACGACATGTCAGCAGCAGCATCTGCTGCTGCTGCTGCTGCGGCTGCTGCTGGATCTGCTGCTGCAACCTCTACTCACTCCCAATCCATCCTCTCCACACCCTGTGCACGCTGTGCCGTGCCAAGCACACTTAGCAAAACACTCCCTTCACGGCTTGGGTTTGCAGAGCACCTTGCCAACGTAGAGCGTGTAGGAAGAGCATTTGAAGCCCGGGTTGTAGTAGTACATGAGAGAGTAGGAGCACTTGAAGATCTTGCACACCACACTGGCGCACGTGTCTCCGCGCACCACCGTGTACGACCCGTAGTAGCAGTACGTGGCGCCTATCAGCGTCAGGCTGCTCACACACACCTGCTCACAGGGGAGGGAGGGAGAGGAGGGGGGGGGATGGAGGAGAGGAGGTAAGAATGTGATGAGGCATGAGGGCAGCAGCAGAATATGGAGAGGGCCGATGCGACAGCACTAGCCTGCATGGCTCGTGCCGTCGCAGTGGTCTGCTTGGTACAGCCAAGAACACCACCCGGCGGCACTGCACGCAACTGTGGCAGCCACTACAGTGCACACGGCACGGCATGAGCGGGGCAGGGCAGGGAAGGGTAGGGTAGGGCAGGCCGGGCGGGGTGGGACAGGGTAGGGCAGGGCGGGCACAGGGGGGGGGAGGGGGGGAGCGGACCTGTTGGCCGACGAGGCGCTGGGAGGAGTCAGCGGAGCAGATGATGCCAGGGTTATAGGAGTAGAGCTGTGCCGCTGTGATGGGCGGCTGCGCGTGCGCCATGATGTCGTCGCACGTCTCCCCGGGGTTCACCGTGTAGTAGTTCGTGCACGACAACGGCTGGGGGGTGCCCTGCTCCATGCACAGCTGGTGGGCGGAGCGGGGGGAGGGAGAGGGGGAGAGAGAGAGGTGAGGTGGGGTGGGATGGGGGGTGGAAGTGAGGAAAGGTATAGCAGGCCAAGGGTATCCCGGGGTGGAGGCGAGGGAGGGTGATGAGGCACAGGAGGCGAGACCCGAGGTGGAAAAGAATCGATGAGAGAGGGATGGACACCAATGGAATGATGATGCGGTGGCGATGGTGAGTTGAGGGCGTCAGAGGGGGGTGGGCCAGGAACGCAGGAGAGGGAGAGAGAGTGCAGCAAGGGCAGTGCTAGGACGAGGTGAGGTGAGGTGAGGTGAGGTGAGGAGCACCTGCTGGCCGGGCACGAGCTGCATGCAGTTGAGGTCGGGGTTCAGCGCTGCCAGCTCCTCTGCTGTCAGCCCAAACATGCTCTGCACCCACTCACACGTGTCGCCCTGCCATTGGTGGGAGATGCGTGGGAGTAGGGAGACGCACAGGTACGATGGGAGTGGTGAGATGCACAGCACGCAGCAAGCAGCAAGGATTGAGCAACATTCATGACCGGGTCACGTGCATCACGCACCAGTGCGTCGCAGTGCCAGGTGGTGTGATGCGGTGCAGCGGGGTGCAGTGTGCATGGGAGCACACTGAACCATGGCAGCACACACCTGGGAGACAGTGAGCGGCACAATGCAGCCTGTGATGGTGCTGGCGCCCGCGCTGCTGGTGGCGGCTCGCACTGTGATGGACGTGCCCGCCTTGTACGTGGCGGGACACTTGAGCTTCTGCAAGAGAGCGGCAGGGGGGCGCAAAGGGAGAGGCAGGGAGGGCAGAGGGGAGAGGAGGGGAGAGGGGAGAAGGGAGAAGGGGGGCAGAAGGGGCATGAGATGGGAGGGGACATGGACGTGAGGAATCAGTTGGAGTGGAAAGGCAGGGTGGAGGGAGATGGAGGTGGCGGTGGGTGGGAGGTCGGAAATGGTGTTGAATCACGTGGTTGGGGGCTTGGCTCACCTTGTTGAGAAGGCGGAAGTCGCTCATGGAGAGGCTGTAGGTGGAGCGCACTTGGTCGCACGTCATGGTCGTGGGCAGCGACACCGTGTTGCTCTGCTTCGTCGCTGCAACCACGGCCAGCATCGGGGAGAGAGGGAGTGGGGGGTGGGGGGGAAGGGGAGGGTGGTGTAGCGGCTATGTGAGGAAAGGGCAAAGAGACAGGGCAGGTGCACTCAGGCCAGTCCCAGGAATAGACACATGAGCAGGTGCGGCACCAATGGACACTGCTAGCAGCCAAGGGAGGCGCACAGGGCGAGGCAGCAGACCCGCAGGGAGGAGAGGAGAAGGGGAGAGAGAAAAAGGGGGGAGAGCAGAGGGGAAGAGAGGAGCGGGCAAGAGAGGAGAGAGGGGGAGAGTGGGTGGGAGGGAGGTTTTACCTGGGATGCAGGTGGCGGTGGCGTCGGTGCGCATGCCCTGAGTGTACCCCGTGGAGCACAGGCACCAGTAGCTGCCCTTGCCGTCGTCCACGCACGTGCCAAAGCCACACGGGTTCATGGCGTAGAACGCACACACCTTGGCTGGTGGTGGCAAGGGCAGTGGGAGGGGAGAGGGAGGGAGAGGGAGGAGATGGTTGGGAGAGAGGGAGGAGACGAGGGAGGAGAGGGGAGGAGACGAGTGGGAGAAGCGAGGGAGAGGGGGAAGGGGTGAGAGGGATGCGGGGTGGAGGGTGTTGTGGGGGGGCTGGGAGGTAACCATCGGAGCGAGAGCAGGGAGAGCAGGGAGACAAGACACAGGTGAGGTGGGCCATAGTAGCCCATCGTACCGGGAGCACAGGTCTGGGTCTTGTCAATGTTGTTGACGGGGATGAAGTTGTCCGGGCACATGCACGAGTTCACTGTCTTCTTGCCCTTCAAAGGCGTGCATGTGCCGCCACCACACGGGTTGATGGGCTCGCATGGGTTCAGCCCTGCGCTCGCAAGGGCACAGGAGGGTGGTGGAGGGGGGGAGCAGGGAACAAGAGGAGCAGGGAGGAGGTCAGAGGGACAGGAGGGATGGAGAGGAAGAGGGGGTGAACTGACAACCGAGAGAGACAAACACACAGTGCTGCATGCGTGCCTGTGGTGTGCTCGTGCTCACCAATGATGGTGGGGTAGAGCGCGGGCATGGTGTTGACGCCGCAGACGCCGTTGCCCCCGCTGATGGCGAGGTGCATGTAGCCCTGGTCGCCCCACGACGCGCCCCATGAGTTGCGCACGATCCAGAGGGGCGGCGCCGCCAGAAGGTCGTAGCCCACGATGACCACCGCGTGGTTCACCACCTGGTTCGCGAAACACGCCGGGTCGTTGTACGTGAAGCCCTGGGGGGAGGGGGTGTGGTGAGCGGGACGGGTAGGGTAGGGGAGGGGAGGGGAGAGGTGGGGTGGGGTGGGGTGGGTTGGGATGGGAGAGAGTGATTGTGGGAAGTGACGGGAGAGCGAGAGCACAAGAGGGTAGAGAAACAAGGGAAGGCTAGTGGAGGGGGGGGGAGAGGGCGAGGGAGGGGAGGGAGCGAGAGAATGATAGCAGCAGAGGTGGCTCACCCCAGCGTAGGAGATGAAGGACTCCTGGTCGGCCTCCACGTACGCCACCACGGGCTGCTGCTGCACGGCCAGCGCCATGCCCATCCACCCGCCCATCGACACCTGCTCGTATGACGCAATGGCGAACGGCCCCGTGGACAGCTGCGCCAGGGAGAAGAGCGACCGCGGGGGCGCCAGCAGCCCATGCATGGTGGGGGCGGGCTCTGCTGCTGCTGCGGTTACAAGTGCGCCGCCTGATGCTGAGGATGCTGCTGCTGCTGTGCCGTCTTGCGTGGTCTGCTGGGGGTCGCTCAAGAGGAAGCGGCTGTGGCGCTTCCCGGAGCGGCGAAGCGCAGTCTGGCACAGGGGCAGCCCACGGTGGTGTTGGGAGTAGGGCGGGGGGAAAGGGGGGGGGTGGGGGGGAGGAGGGGAACGGAAGGGATGGTGAGGGGAGAAGGTGGGGCGGTGAGGTGAGGCAAAGTAGGCGGCGAGGAGTCCAAGCGGCAATGGCGCAGCAAGCAAGCCAAGGAGCAGAGTACCCACCTATCACAAGGCCATCCGCCAGCATGGAGAGGCAGAGTGCGTGTCACAGGGCACAGCGGCCACCAGCCAACCAGCATGCAGCGGCTTCTAGGTCACCAACCCCCCCGCTCCCCCACTCTACCCCCCCCCCTCCTCCCCCCCCCTTTCCCCCCACCCCCCCTCCCTCCCCCTGCATACTCTGCAGGAGGCGGGCGAGTAGATCCCCGTGTAGGGGTACTTGTACGCGAGCGGCAGGCCGCCGCTAGATGCAATGTAGTTGAAGGCGTGCGCGGGAAAGCCCCCCCCGCAGCTCCACTGGCCCTGGCAGTCCACCACACGCTGCTCCGACACGTTGGGCGGCGACGCCCCGTACACTATGGCGTACAGCGCCTCCGTCGCCGCCACTGGCGCGAACGCCCAGCACGACGCTGAGAGACACGGCAGGGGGAGGGAGGGGGTGGGGGGAGCGGCAGGGGAGGGGAGGAGAGGAAGAGTGCAAGAGGTGCTAGAGGTGTTGGAAGGGTGGGGGCATGTGGGGAGGAGGAGCAGTTGGGGTAGGGGGGGACAACAGCCGGGTGCGGGATGGAGAGAGGGGGAACAGCTGCCAGTGAGTTGGCGCGAGCAAAGGGCACGGACGGTTGGCAGTTACAGAGTGGAGTGCGTGTGGGTAGAAATAGGCAGGATTGAGAGCGTGCGCGTGTGCGAATGAGGGAGTGGGCGGGCGAACGGGAGCGGAGCACTGACAGCAGAGGCCCTGATCCTTGGCAGAGAGCAGCACAGAGGGCATGGCGGCGCGCCAATCGACGGTGTTGGTGAGGTTCCACTCTGGCGACGAGTAGTTGCCCGTGAAGCCGCGCGACATGTGGCGGAAGTACTTGTTGGAATAGGATCCTGATAGCAGCGCGGGCGTCGTGCCCGTGAACACCACACCGCGGAACTCTGGAGGGGGGGGGGGGGCGGGGGAGGGGATGGGGGGGAGGGGTGGGGAGGTAGGGAGGAGGTGATGGGCGGGTGGGGAGATGAGGAGGGATCGATGGGTGAGGGGTTGATGAAAGGGTCGAAGGGACAAGAGGCAGGTATGGCGCAGCAGCATGGGTAAGCAGTGAGGCAGGGAGAGCATGTTGCTAGTTACCTCTCTTCTTGCGCTCCGTGCTGTCGATGGGCGGTGGCGTGGCTGGAGGGATCAAGGCGAGGGGGGGGAGAGAAATGCAGGGAGAGCAACAGGTTAGCACAATGCAACAACACGGAAGAGGCAGAAAGGCCAAGGCGCGGAACAAGGGCGGATTCAAAGGCGATGCAGAAAGTTTGCAACGCGAGCGAAAGAGAACAGAAAGCCAGGAGGAAGGACGGCAGGGGGATGGTGGGGGGGAGGCGGGAGGATGGCGGGAGGACGGCTGGGGTGAAGGAAGGGTGGAGCGGAGAGGCCAGCAGGGCAGTGGTGCTCACGAGGGGGGGTGCCGGGGTTAGGCGAGCAGGAGGGATAGGTGACAGAGGAGGAGCCCACGGTGACGGTGAGCAGCACGCTGTACATGTCGCTGTGGCACTGGCACGCCGGCACGTTCGACGCCCCCTCCAAAACGCACGTCCCCAGCCCCCCACACGGCCCCGCCGCCAGCCCCGCACCGCAGAACGCCACGCACTCCACCGGCCGCTTCTGCTCTCCCGCCTCACACCCGCCGCTGCTGCTGCCGCCGCCGCTGCCGCCGTTGTTCCCGTTGTCCTCCCCCGAGCGCCCCCACGACTTGCCGCGGTGGACGTAGCTCTGAGAGTAGTTCCAGTTGCCGCCCAGGAAGCAGTTGGCGCTCATGCTGCTGGTGGCCGTGGCGCCGAAGGGCTCGAGGTTGGCCGCGGAGAAGCCACCCGTGAGGGAGGAGGGGCAGAAGGCGGTGCCCTTGGCGGTGAAGGAAGAGGGCAGCGAGGTGAAGTAGTTGCTGCTCGTGTCGTACAGCGCCAGGGAGGTGGACGCCAGGGACGCCGAGGAGAAGCTGCTCAGCGGCGCACCTGTGAAGGCGTTGCGGCTCAGGTCGCTGGGGGATTTGGGAGGGAAAGGGGAGAGGGGATGAGTGAGGTGGAAGGGATTGAGGTCGGCGGGATGATGAGGCAAGCGAGGGAGGGCTGGAGGTTGACTGGCTTGGGGACGCAGAGGGAGTAGAGCGGGGCGGACTTACAGGTGGACGAGGTTGGAGAGAGTGGAGAGCGCTGCAGGCATGCCGCCATAGAAGCGGTTGTTGCTCAGGTCCCTGCAGGCAGCCGCGCGCACACATACACACACATGGGATTGAATATAGGCACGGGCGTGCTGCAGTGTGAGCAGAAAGAGAGAGGAAGAGAGATGAAGGGCGATGAAGGGAGGTGAGGTGGGGGAGGGGAGGAGGGCGCACGGGAGGAGAAAGGGAAACAGAGCGAGACATTGGCATCCCTTCCAGCCGTCCCCCTTCCACGCCCCACACCCCACGCCTCACGCCTCACACCCCAGGCCCCAGGCCCCTACTCCTGTTTCTCGGTTGTCCTTCTCCTTCCTCACTGTCTCCTTTCCCCTGCTGCTGCTATCTCCTATCTCTCTCTCACTCTCCTTCAATTGTTTCCATCGCACCTCTCCCTCCTCCCCTCGTCTCATTGGCCCACAACGCACAGTGCTTTGAGCCCCTTGAGTCCGCCCACCGAAGTCGGCAGCACTCCTGACAGCTGGTTCTTCCCCACCATGCTGGCACGGGGGAAAGGAACGAGGGGAGGGGAGAGGGGGGGTTGAGAATGGAGGAAGAGAGAGGGGAGGGTGAAGGGAGTACGAAACGGATGGTCACAAGGCAGGAGCGAGAGAGGAGGCGGAAAGGACAGTTCGAGGAGCAGAAAGAGAATGGCTGAGCGGGAGAATGGCGGAGCGGGGGAATGGCGGAGCGGGGGAATGGCGGAGCGGGGGAATGGCGGAGCGGGAGGCTCACAGAAGCTGCAGGGTGGAGAGCGTGAAGAGGGACGACGGCAGAGAGCCGTTGAGGGAGTTGAGAGCCACGGCGCTGGTGGGGAGGGGGGGATGGGCCAGGGGGATGGGCGGGGATAAGGGGCAAGGGGAGGAGGGGCGCAAGGCATATAGGGTGGTGAGCACTGGGCATACGAGGCTGACTGATCGCGTGGCAGTGGCACGGACGGATGTGCGTGGTGGGCGCGCATAGTGATGGCAATGATGGCATGCCACGGCACCAAGGGCTAGCGCAGGCATGTGCGATTGATGGCAGCAAGTCGCGGGGTACAAGGGGAACCAAGAGAGCGCGACGGCGCGCGCGCGGGCGAGGGCACGGGCGTACAAGGTGGCGAGGTTGGTGAGAGGAGCGAAGGCGTTGGGGATGGAGCCCGTGAGGGCGTTGGAGGTGAGGTCCCTGGGACGACGCACGCACGCACACACGCACGCGCGTTCCACACCCACACACAGAGAGGACTACGGAACGGCGTTAGGGTAGGGTAAGCAATGCAATGAGCTGAAAGGAAACATGCACGGGAAAAGGAAAAGACGGGCAGGGTGCTGCGGCGGGAGTGGACGAGCAGGAAGAGCGGCAGGCAAGAGAGCAAGCGAGAGCAGCAGCTGGGCAGCGGAGGGTGAGGACGAGTCGATTCGAGGGAAGGCGAGGCGAGGGGAGGGGAGGGGAGGCGCACAGAAATCGGAGGTTGGAGAGGCGGCTGATGCCCGAGGGAATGGAGCCGTTGAACTGGTTGCCGCTAAGGGAGCTGCGCGGGGGACGGGGGGAAGAGGGGGGGGGGGGGGGCAGGGGATGGGGGGGGACACAAGGGCGGGTGGGGTAGGAAGGCAGGGTCAGAGGGTGAGGGGGAGAGAGGGTGAGAGGGGTGAGGCGAGGAGGGCACGGAGGGCGTGGCGGGAGCACAAGCGCGCACATGGGGGCGGCATGGCGACTGCAGCGCGCAAGGGCACAGCTGGACTGCGGCACAACAAGGCTCGAGCAGACGAGCGCGGCGTCCCGAGAGCATGGCGGCATGGCGGCACGGCGGCATGGCGAGAGCAGCGTACACGTTGGTGAGAGCGACGAGGAAGGAGATGTCGTCGGGGATGGGCCCCGTGAGCAGGTTGTGGTCCAGACTCCTGCGCCGCACGGCCAGCAGCGGGGGAGACGGGCGGGAGCAGGGAGGGGGGTGGGGGGTGGGGGGTGGAACACGGTGAGGGGCGAGGGAGGGGCAGGCGTGGAGAGCGCATGGCATGGAAGTGGAAACGCAGGGGCGGAGAGGCGATGAACGTAGTAAGGCGGTAGAGAGAGAGAGCAGGAGAGAGAGAGAGAGGGGGGCGGCGACTGACAGTCTCTGCAGCGCCTGCAGCTGCGTGACGGCGGCAGGGATGGATTGCCCGCCCAGGCTGCGCTGCCCGTTGATCTCTCTGCCGCCACACGCACACGCACACGCACAGACACAGGGGGAGGGAAGAGAGCATAGGGAGGAAAGGGAGGAGACGGTTGAGGCAGGGGGGAGCAGCAGGCGCGACGAGGTGCAGCGTCGCGCGCCGCTTGTGCGACGGGCATGGCGGGGCATGGCGGGGCGGTAGTGCTCACAAGCTGGTGACCTGCCCCAAGGCGTTGCACGCGAGCCCGAACCACGTGCTGCACTCACGCCCCGCCACCCACGTCTGGTTCATCACCGTCAGGTTGCGCCCCCACGCCGCCGCTATCGCGCTGAGCGCAGTCACTGGGGAACAGGTGGGGGGATGGAGGCGGAGAGGGGGAAGGGGAGGGGGTAAGGAACGAGAGACAGGCGGGGAGGAAAGGAAGGTTTAAAAGGTCACTGGTAAAGCATGTGGTGGGAGCTATACGAAGGGAGCGGGGGGGAGCAGAGCGGGTCGGACGGAGCGATGGCGATGTGACTGCATGGCGATGTGGCTGCACGGCGATTATTAACCGGCAAGCGCGCGAAACGGGAAGCGGGTATACGTTGTGTGTCTTTTAACTAGCGTTCCAGCACTGACCGCAGCGGGGAAAGAAGCACGAGTGGCGCGGGTGGAAGCGCGAGCAGCGGGAGGGGAAGCGCGAGCAGCGGGTTGGGGAAGCGCGAGCGGCGGGAGGGGGAAGCGCGAGCAGCGGGAGGGGGAAGCGCGAGCGGCGGGTGGAGGAAGCGAGAGTGGTGGAAAAGGTAGCGCGAGTGGTTGAACGGGTAACGGCCGCCTTTGGCGGACTTACGCTGAGAATCGGCGACTGTTTGGGCTGAGGCGTGCTGGGGAGGGAAGGCGAGGAGGAGAAGCACCAACGCGAGGGGAAACAGGGCGACAGGCAGAGCCGAGGAGGGCGCAGGAGGACGGAGCGCCATGATGGGCGGAGACGTGGTTAGTAGCACTGACGGTGGCGCGGCGGATATGGGAGAGCTGACGGGAAAGGAAACAAGGCCACAATGCCGGGAGCGGCTGCAGATATAATCGACGGCTGGGTGTGTTGCCTGCGAGGTCGACAGCGGAAGCCAACTGGACGGAATGGATTCGAGAATCTGACGGATTGAGTGAGAGACGGAGAGGGGGAATGGGGAAGAGGGAGGAAGGAAAGCACGGAGGCACGGATGCACAGATTTAGGCGGCTGGCGGTTCCCAGCCACATGGACCGTGGATTGCTCAGGGTGCGCTCTGCGCAGCGTTGCGCCGCGGTGGCGGTGCAGTGGGGGAACGCACCGGGCGGAATGAGTGCGACGCGCGGCGTGCGACGGCAAAGGGACCGACTTCCCCGACGGAGGAATCTAGGAGCTCCGCGGAACGAGGCTGTCCTGACCGTTGGCATCTAAACACACTCCCATCGGCTTGCACGCATCCACTCCTCCTTGCCGCACTCGCGAGTCACTACTTGCGACTACCTAGCGTTGTTTCGAGCCCAACAGCAGGAAGTAACGAGCTAGCTAGAGATGCGCGCACAACTGCCAGTATGGAATCAGGGAGGGCCGCTCATTGCGTCGACCGCGCCGTCTCATTTGCCATCGCATTGCCTCGCACCGAGACGTCACCTAAAACGCACACCAGTCACCCATCCCCCTTCCATCCCCTTCTACTCCCCTCCTCGTCGCCATGGCCTCTCCAAACGCGACTCGCGAGGATAAGCTCCTAGCTCTAATGAATCCGGCACCGAGTCGTCTGCTAACTACGCTAGGAGGAGGGAGAGCGCGAGGGGCGGACGCACCTGAGGCGGAGAGATCTACGGCGCGGAATACGCGGAGCGAGACGTGTCACTGGCGATGGAGACGTGGCGGCACCATGGGGTAGGGGCACAGGGAGGGATCGCGCGAGAGGGCGAGCATGGCTGGCAGGGGAAATGCTAGTGCTAGCAGCGCAGGGAGGAGGGTAGAGACAGGGTCGAGCGGATGTTGACGGAGGAGGGCTGTTCGTGACGGAGCAGGAAGGTAAGATTGGATTAGGAGGGACGGTGACACGCATAGCGAGGGGATGATGTTGGGGGCTACAGATCACGAAGAGGAAGAATGACAGATTGGGGAGGAAAGAGATGCGACAAAGGGTAGCTGTGTGATGCCATGTTCCTGTAAAGTGCTGCAGCTGCAGCAACCAGAGCAACCAGGGCCCAGGGGGTATACCGTACAGGAGCAAGCAATCGGCAGTTGGTGCGGTGAGGTGAAGCAGGGGGAGGAGGAGGATGGATGGTGGTGGTGGAGGGAGTTGGTGGCAGGCATCGCTGTCAAAGCAGGGGAACTGAAATAATCAAATCGAACCAAGGCATGGGCCGGCGTGGGGGGCTTGTGCAGAAGGATAAACCTGTTCGGTGCATTTTCGATTTTAGCCCTACACTGGTACAGCACAGTTCCATTGACCTGAAAGACTGCGAAGGGTCAATTGCCAGGTGGATTGTCGACTGTGGTTTTTTCCCCCTGCTAATCATTCACAACTCACTCGCACTTTCTCGGTTCTCGGACCGTCCAGACTAAGCATAAGATGTTGCTGGGTTTGCTGGTGGAGTAAAAAAACCAAACTGCTTGAGAAAGACGGTGGGCGTTGCCGTGCCGAATGAAACCCACTCGTAAAACCTGCAATTTCTTGGGTGAAAGAAAACGGATTTTGTCCAACACGGGCACCCGGGGGAAGGAATCCAGGAATGGCTCGCTCATGGGTTTCCTTGAATGTAGAGACCTTGGTTTGGTAGATGTCGGCGGGCAGCTGAAGGGATGTGCAAACTTTGGTCTTCTTGCCTGCACTGATTGGAGCAGAGCGCTGCACTCACAAGAGAAGCTCGTCCCCAAGAAACGCCTCCCTTGTGGGAAGGCTTGTCTCGACGTGGAGCGAAGAACGCAACTGCTTGGGAACAATACACATGACGTCCAGTGAACCGCCCATTCGTCAGAGGCCTCCATGCACTGGTCAGTCCAAGTGCCACGGATATGCAGTCAACGGCCCGTCATGGACTGGCCCAATTTTGGGCGGCTCAACCACTTGCGACACTGCTGGGAGCGAACATGCAGAAGGAACAATTGTAGGTTGACTCGGAACCAGGATGCGATTGTGCGACAGTTACCGGGGTACGCGGGAGAAACAACGAATGTCTTCCATGTTCCAACGTTCCTGCCAAACGGGTAACCATGGTCCTACCCTCAGGCCCAATTTGCCAGCGATTTGAAGGCATCCGTTACTAGAGTAACCGCTTAAAAACAACTTAAGCTTCTTTCAGACATCTGGTGTATACTGTAGGTTAAAATTGAAGCCGAAATTGAATGCAACTCAGGTGAGGAGTCAGCAGGAACCAGGGTGCGCGGGCATGTGTGAGCTCGCGTGCTCAGTGCAGTTCAGCTGCAAACAAAAAGCCACGTTGCCATGACAATGGTGGAAGCAAGTACAACGTTTACGCGCTACAGTCGACCAAGCAAATATATTCTATTAAATAAGAACGGGAATTATATTCAAGATGTCTACTTCCACATTAGCCATAGTGCCTGATTCCCCCAAGCTGCACACCTATTGATGAATTTGAGTAATAAATTTCATCGAAACTCCATGTGTAATTATTTGAAAATGGTAAAGTTATACCATTGTTAGACACGATTTGTTTTCTTGTTAATCCGTTTTAACATAATCTTATTTAGGGCTTATAATAACTCTTTATGAATACTCTGATTTTATATTATTGAAAAATTGCTATATATATTCTTATTATATATTAAATAAAAATTAACAAAATACCATATATATATGTATACATATGTCTGTATATATATACGAAGCAATTTCCCATGTTCATGTCATTTTCACCTATCACAATGAAAGAACTGGTTGGGGCGCCTTACCTAGTAGACATGCGAGACTATATTGGGGTCATAGGGTGGTTGTAAACATCAGGTTGCCTAGGGTGCCTTCCCTGTTCTTCCTTCTCCCCTTCTCCCCCACCTTAACCTATTATTGCACTTCCCCCTCATTTACTTCCACCCTCTCCCCTTCCAGGTTACCTAGTTTCCACACCATTCCGATTGCATTTATGGATGTTTCTTCTTGCATATATGTAAGCTATTGAAAATGGAAAAAAAATGACGTGTTCGTTTTTAAGAGGATGGTTTCCAAGGCAACATTAACAACGATATTCCTTCACATTTCTTTTTTTGTCAACACTCTTTCTGAACCTCGTCTCACGATCCGGGACAAACAGATATTACTGGCATTCTATCAGTAACACGAATAACGCCTCTCAGGTGTACTTGTTTGTGGTCACCTCCTTCTGCGGGTGCACCTGGGGGAAGGACTGTTTATCCCGAAACACCTTCCCATTGGGTGTCCTTCGAAGGACTTTCCTCCATATGTACACTAATTCTGCGCCATGTTCTTACTCAGCAGTTTCACGGGATTTGTCTGCCTACATATCGTATTCTACTAGCGCGACGACTACCGCAAGTATTTCCTTAGGTGCAAACCCCGTGTACGCAAGAAATCCTAACCCTGCCGACAAGCATGCTTCCCTTTATTGCGTGACATCCATATATTTTTCATTCCGGTGCAAGCGGAGAGGACGACGATCCACAGCAGTCGCAGGTGGTTTTGGGCACTAACCTAAGACCGCATTCAAATCTATGACCTGACCCTCGCACAACACAATGACGAATCGGAACACGCCAAGTGCGATTCTGAATCTGGTCTGGTGTCGTAACGTAATCCGTCACCATACGGAACTGGTAAGCCACCCAACGAACGTGTTCACCACCGCCAAGTTTCAGTCTCCACTACATTCGGGCTACCGTCACGATGGCCCAAAAAAATCCTGACTGAGAGCACTCCGCCAAGCACTCGACCCTGCGTCTGTCCGAACCACATACGACATACACGGTGTTCAGTTTTAGTTGTGTTACTCTTGTTGCAACGCCTCTGATTTTGTAAAAGTTGAAATTTGGTTGTGCGACATATTACGAAAACGGAGCGACGTGCCTATGTGGACATGGTCGGCACAAAAGACGGGAGCCCCGCCCCTCTACAATACGCACACGACACACTCCTACAACCGCGGAAACGTTATGAGCAATTTTGTCAGGGTTGCACAGCGATATTCTCTAATTGCAATTTCCTATATCCTTGGAGCTTGCGTTAGTAGAATACGACTGGTACCAAGTCCACCAACCAACTGCTGCCCAAAAGTCACGCATGGCAACCCCGACGCTTTTTGTGAAAGTGCGATCCATGTCACCCCCTCATCATTCATTTGTGAAATATCGCAAAATCTCAACTGTTCGTAAACGTTGAGGCCCGATAGAGAAGAAAAGTTTAGATGAGATAAATAAATAAATACATATATACATGTATATATATAACGAAATGAATAAATAAAAACACATGGGACATTGTGAATGGTGGCTGAAGATGTGTTGATGAGTCAACCCAGCTTGGTAATGCTGCTAATTGAACTCGTTTTTGCGGTCGTTGAGTCGGCATGCGTTTCACGAGATTGCCTTCTGAGAAAATAGCGCCAATATACACAAGGTTCGCTAATTTCTCATCATCCACGTGTCAAAAGACTAGCTTAGCTAGGAAGCCATAGAATGGCACAAGGTTTAGCTAGGAGCTAGGAGGAGCCATGAGAATGGCGAGAGGTTTTAGGTGCTAGGAAAGTTGAGGAGAGAAAAGAGAGTTGGATTAGAAGAGAGGGGAGTACAAGGAGGGGTTTGTACCCCCTACAGAAAGGTTCAGTAACAACCTACCAAGCCTATATTAAATTATAACTTATATAATTTGAACACACCCCCTAGGCTTGGTAGTCACATGCCCACACACACCCACACCCCCTAACCTAGCACCCCCATTCCAGCCACAGTGACAGCGACTCTAGGTCGGTCGACCCACGGTGCGTGAGGCGGCGACGTCGACCGCAGGGGCTGCGGCGGCGACGGCAGCAGCGGCGGCAGTGTCGACAGCGGCGGCGGCGGCGGCGTGCGGCTGCGTGGCCCCGACGCAAGCGGCGACAGCGGCGGCGGCGGCGGCTTCAACAACAGCGGCAGCGGCGGCGGCACCCGCACCTCTCGGTGACGTGGCCAGGCCCCGCGACGGTGGGACGGCCGGCGGGAGTCAGCCGTCGTCTGCGGAATAGAAGAGGGCACAGGGGAAGGAGGGGGGTGGGGGGGGGGGGGCGCCACAGGCTGACATGCGGGCGGCCGGTCTAGCGGCGCCACAAGCGTCACGCGGCCGGCTGCAGCCCGACGACGCCGTCATGGAGCGGCGTCGATGCCGCAGCGGGGCGTCGACGTTGCGACGGCAGCACGACGTCGCCGTTACGCCGACCGCGCGCTGTCGCGTAGACGCCGCGGCAGCGTGACGGCGCCGTCACGTCGCGACAGCATCTTGACGCGACGGCGGAGCTGCGGCACGACGGCGCGGCCACAGCAGCTGGACGCGGGCGCCATGGACGTCGACGGCGGCGCCGCGGCACGACGACGCGACCACAGCAGCTTGACGCGGCCGCCATGGCAGCGCGAGATAGAGAGAGAAACGAGCACGCAGCGGAAACGCGAGGAGCAGGCCCACACGGAACGAACTGCTCTAATACCATGTCAAAAGACTAGCTTAGCTAGGAAGCCATAGAATGGCACAAGGTTTAGCTAGGAGCTAGGAGGAGCCATGAGAATGGCGAGAGGTTTTAGGTGCTAGGAAAGTTGAGGAGAGAAAAGAGAGTTGGATTAGAAGAGAGGGGAGTACAAGGAGGGGTTTGTACCCCCTACAGAAAGGTTCAGTAACAACCTACCAAGCCTATATTAAATTATAACTTATATAATTTGAACACCACGTAGCGACAAATTGCAGTACAGAAATAGTGAGTTGATAAAACAACGCAAAAGCGGTATAAGAGGGCATTCCGATTTCCAAACCACGAATTGGATTCGATTAGATACAAATACACCTTACCCCTCTCTCATGCTCCCTACTATGATAATCTCCAAATGGAGTCAAGTAATGCAATAGAGAGGTAGTGATTCAAAAGTATCAAATACAAATGAAGCACAGAGCTAAATACAAGCACAACTAGCCTAGCAAGGGGAC